CAGAAGCCCTGGGCTCCCACCCTAATTCGGCAACAGAGCATGAAAGTGACTGAGCCAGATCCCCCCTCCCCCCGACACACACACTCTTCCTTTCTTTTTCTTTATACTTCTCCCCTCCTCCTTCCTTAGGGCCCTTTCGAGAATTCTTCAAACCCCCACCCTGCACAGCTCAGCCCGGCTGGTCTCTAGAACCCACAGGCGGGCCCAGAGGGCGGGGTGGGGGAGTGGGGGTGGGCAGCTGGTTGACGGAGGAGATACTGTGAGGCGACTTAGCACCCAAGACAGGGCGCTGGCTGTTTCTCCGTGCCGGCGAACGTGAGCCAGCTCCTTGGAGGCTTTGGGACAGGAGAGAATGGGCTCAATTAGGTCCTTGGGGCCAGCCCTCCGTCGCCCCAAGATAGCACCCCCTTCCTCCTCCTGAAATACTCCCTCCTGGGGCGGCGCTTCTCGGAGGCAGAGACACCCTGCGACTTTAAGAAGCCGAGGCCAGGGACGCCGGGGGGATGGGGCGGGGCGGAGGCTGCCTGGAGGAGGGGGCAGCGCGGCGGCCCGGGGCGAGAGAAGCCACGGCTCAGGCCGGCTTAGATTCGGTCAGGCTCCAGGGCCAGCAGCCACCCTTGTTCCCAAAGCCACGATTTCATTTCCTGGGGGCCCGAGCCTCCCGGAGCACAAACTGGAGGGGAGGAGGGGGAGTGCGGAGAGCTGCCACGTTAGCTGCGCGCCGGCCCAGGTCTGCGCTCTGGGGTCACCCCGCGCACTCCACGTCCAATCCTTCCTCCCCGCCCCCCTTTTGCCCTGCTCCTTCCCCGAAGTTCTAACGTTCTGCCCCAAGCTACAGCCCGCCCCCTGGGGCCATCAACCCCACACCGTCCCCCCCGCCCAAGCCTCGCCAACCCCTTTGCCCCCCTGGCTCCCAGCGCTGACCGGAACCGACCCGGGGCGCAGCCAGGGCACCAGGACCCCCGAGGACACCCCCCCCCCCCATGGACCTGGGGAGGTTCCCGGGAGCGCTTCCACGCAGCCCACAAACTGCTAAGACACCGACCACGGTGCTTGGGGTCTGGCCCAACCCAGAGGACAAGCGAGAGCCGCTGCCGGACCGGGAAGAAGCGTCTATCAAAGACGGTGCCTGCGTTCTCCCTGGAGGCGTCAAGGAACGGCTCCCGCTCCTTCTTTTCTGGAAACAGTGTCTCCCTCCCCCGCCCCGCCCGGCCCCTGGCCCCGGGGAGGAATGTAACATCTTGTAATGTGGCAATCACTGACACACCAGGGCCCGGGAGGAGAACCCCCGCCTCGCATTTCCCCCCCCCCCCCCATATCGGTTTCTGTTTAGGGAAGGGGGCGGGCAGGGTGTGAAGCTGGCGGGGCAGATCCCAGGTAGGTAGGAAGGGAGGACCTGACGGGGGGGGGGGGGGGCGGGGGGAAGGGACTTGACTGGGGCCGTTTGGGGTGACTTGACCCAGCCAGAACCAGGCAGTCCCAGAAGAGCCCGGTCTGCCAGGGCCAGGGGCGCGCCCCACCCACCCGCGGGCCGCACCTGGGACCCCCAAAGTGGAATGCAAAGGGACCGGTATTTTAGGAGGAAGAGAGAGCTTCATTCTCAGAGATGTCTGACCTTACAACAGATGTAAGGCACTGGTGGCCGTTGTTCCTTGGCGGGAAAGAAGCGGGCTGGTGTCCTTTGAGCGAGTGCTTTGGACTCGGTCGGTCGGGGTAGAAGGAGGCAGGAGTGCGGGTTTTGCTCCTGGGTTTTACAGTCAATAAGGATGACTTTTTTTTATTTATTTTTTATTTTTTATAAGGCAAAAGGGCTTCTGCTCCCCGTCCCCCTTCGCGGGGAGGGGGGATGTTCTAACAGCGGAGGGGACTATTCAGCCCCTTCCAGCACTCCTCACTTTGCCCCTTCTCCTCCCTCCCCCCTCCCCCCACACAGCTGTTTGTAAACAGAGCTGCAGCCCGATGGGGCTCTCTCCGCCCCCATCAAACCTGATACTTCTTCCCCCAAACTCGCCCCACCGGTCTCGGAAATCCTTACACAGGACGGATATTCACAATTTTCACAAGTAGTCCTGAAAGGAGGCCGAGGGGAAGCTTCCTAAACGGTCCCACATTGCAGCCGCGCTGATTAGGCCCAGGATCCGCTCCCTTTTCTTCTCCGCACTCCCCTGCCCGGCGGGAATGGGCGCAGCGGGAGGGGGTGTGTGTCTGCCTCCGGGGGGCACTCAGGGCGCCCGCTGGGGCTGTGGGTGGGGGTGCGGTGGGGGCGGGGACAGGAGGGGTGTCGGGTGCCAGTCTGGGAAATGGGAACTCAGCGCTCGGCGGGGGTTTGCAGCAACCCCACCACGAGGTGGGGCGGAGGGGGTCGGACACCCCTTGCTCTCCCGCCCCGCCCGCTCCCCGGGGCCTCCCAGCGCTTGTCATATCCAGTATCTGGCCTGCTATTTCACGCGGGCGCATGGAAGGGGGGTGCAATGAAGATTTATGTGCGTTCCGAGGGCGGCCGGTTTCCCAGCGCTGGGAGACCAGATCGCCGCTTCCCGTTTCCATTTTTCACTCGCGCTTTGGGGAGCGCAGTCGGGCGCGGGGGGCAGGGGGCGGGGCGGGGGGAGCTAGTCTGCGGGCGGCGGGCTGATCACAGGGCTCCAAGCCTCCCAGCGGGCCGCGGGACTGTGAGAAAGGCTTGCCAGCGCCTCGCCCCCGGCGGCGGGGCCGGTGCCGACCCCCTCCTCCCCCAGCCCAGCTTTGTTTCTCCCCTCGCTCACCCGCCCCCCACCCCTCCTGCCCGCTCGCTCACGTCTAGACCTGAGGCGCATCCTCGCTTCCCCCTTTCTTGGCCCTTCTCCTTGTCTGCGGAAACGCCCTCTTCCTCTGGCCCCTGCACCCTCCTGCCCCCCGCTTCCCAGGGAAAGGCGCGCCGTGGCCCTACCCGACCCCTCCGCCGCCGGGTGCCAGGTTTAGTGACTCCGGCGAGTCTGTGGGGCCTCGGCCCACCCCGGAGCTGGGGCCGCCCGCCCTCCCGGCTCCCAGGCTTGCTCATGCCAAGGCCTGTTGCGTGATTCCAACTTGGGCTGACATTCCCTGCCTCGGGCGCTCCCGGCGTAGGCCTCTTAATCATCTTGTCTGCTGCAGATCCTCCACACCAGCCAATTTATGGCCCCGCTTCTCCTCGCTGGTTCCAGGGGGGTGGGGAGGGCAGTGCGCGCAAGGGAGGGGGGAGGGCGCAGCAAACCGCAGGGGGAAGCCTGGCACCAGCTATTGGCACTCAGAGAAAACCACAGAATTTGGAGCTGGAGCTGGAGCTGGGGGGAGGGAGGGCTGGAAGGGGGTCTGCGAGGCAGGCGGCTGCTTAGGGGAAGCCAGAATCTCGGGGTCAATGGGATTCAGCCCAGGCCTCCTTAGCCTGGGAAAACACGCAGGAATGCAAGCGGACTCAGGGTTGTGTAACCTCCCTGCCTTCTGCAGAGCCCCAACCCCCTGGACCACACTCTGCTGTAAAGCAGGCTCAGCGCAGGCCCCAGAGCAATCTGGCCAGGAAAATTGGATAATGCCACTGAGCCCAGAAACTCACTCCTGTCTGATGCCTGTCTTTTTTTTTTTTTTGGCAGAAGTGAGTTGAGACACACAACAAGGATGAAGGGATCAACCATCCCAGAGAAGGGGCTGCCTGGCTTGCCAACCTCCTCTCCAGCAGAGTCCGGCCCCTGTAGAAAGGATGCTCGAGGTTCAGCCTTTCACGTCCCAAAGGGCCAGAGGTCTCCCAGCCTTAGAATGCTGCTCTTCCACACAAGATGAGGTTGGAAAGACCTCTGGCTCACTCTGGGCCTCATCATTGCAAGCAAAAATTAAGGCTCTCTTGTTTGGGGGGCTCAAGCAATATACTACTCGGAGCAAAAATGTATGGAGTGCTTACTATGTGCCAGGCACTGTTATGTCATTGCCTCATTAAATGCTCACGACTCTGAGACAGCTGTTTTTATTTCTCCCGTCTCAGAGGTATGCACACCACAACACAAAGGTGAAGTGGGCAGTCCGAAGTCACACTGGGAGTGAGCAAAGCCAGGAAGCTTCCAGCTGTAGGCCCCAGTGCCTTCAGGAAAAGGAACTTTAAGTTCAGGCCTGCGTTTCTCACCTACCCCGGGCCTTTGCAGAGAGTGCCAGAAAATAAGATCACTTCCAAAGCTGGAAGCCAGTTGGGTGGGACCCAAGGTGGAAAGCAGAGCTGAAGGATGTGTGAACCTTTCTCCTCAGAGAATGTGAGGTGGGAAGATGCCCCTGCCTAAGCACTGAGTATCAGTCTCCATGTGAGTGTGCCTGTGTGCATGAGTGTGCCTATGTGAGTTTGTGTGTCACTGTGTGTGCATTTGCGTCGTGGGGGTATCGTTCAGTATGAGCGTGTGGACGGCGTGTCTGAGAGTGCGTGACAGTAAGGATGTGTCTAGGAGAGTCGCGGTGTGGGGCTGGTGTGTGCTGGGGAAGCCCTGTGCCTGAGGTCGCCCTGCATTCCAGAGCAGCCAACCGAGTCTCCCCAGGGCCTGGGTGACTCATCGAGTTCTGCACTCAGCCAACCCCCAAGGGCTGCGGGCACACGGAGGGGAGGGGCCGATGTAGGGGTTTGACCCTGGCTTCCACCGCGCTGGGGCTCGGCTGCGGGCTCCCTGCGGCGGCGGCTCGGAGCACCGCGCGGCCAGCGTCTCGGACGCGGAGGCGGCGGAGACCTCCCAGGCGCGGGCCCGGCGCCGGCGGGCAGAGAGGGCGGGACGGAGCCGCCGGCCGGGCGGCGCGGGGTGACTCACTGCGCCTCCAGCAGACGAGCCCCGCGTCCAGACGCGGGTGGGGGCAGAGAGGGACGTGGCCCGCCGAGTGAGCCTGTCCCGGCCCCACCGCAGCTTGCCGCTCCCGCAGCCGCAGGGAGATGTACGCGGCGCCCTTGGCTGGCCAGGCCTCCGCCCGGGCAGCGGCCGGAGGTCCCAGGCCGCGCCGCCACGGTGAAAACGCACACATCCGATGAAAACAATAATTTATTTAAATTATATATTCATAGTGTAAAACCAACACGAAGAGCATGTTGTTTTCATAATAAATAACCCCCAAATACCTTTCATTTCAAGAACAAAGACTTCAGGATAAGCTATTACAAATCCAAATCAGTAGCTTAGCTTAACTGAGAACATTTCTTAAGGGGAAAAAAATAAAATAAAACGGAGGGGTTGCTGAGGTCACTGCTAAACTGGAGTTTTCACAAGTGAGGGGTTTACAAAAAACAGTCCGAAAAGATGAGTATTTTATACAAATAAATCAGTGGGGAAAATCTGCACAGACACCTTTATTTACAAACTCTATGTTTCCGAAGTCCAGGCTAATGACCCTGAATAGATTTTTAAAAAAGATAATTTAAACAGTTTTTTTTTTTTTGCAGTGTCCACATGTTAAAAAAATCATTTCCCCCCTCCCCAACATCAAAATGAGGTCATCCGCAAAGGCACCTAAACTTTTAAAAAATAAAAATAGAAATAAAAACTCCACGGGTGATGGATGAGGAGAGGGCTAAGGGGAGAGTTGGCGGCGGGAGAGGACGAGGCTCCATCCTCTGCAAACGGCGGGACAGAAAAGAGGCGGCGGCGGGGTCACGGGGCGTGTGGGGGCGGCGGGCCGGACGCGGGGGTCAGCCGCCGGGGCGCACGGCGCCTGGCCCGGGGCTGGCGAGGAGAAAGGAGCTTCAGAGCGCCCGGGAAGCCTGGCGGGCGGGGGAGGCGTCCTCTTCCCGGACTCCGCTCGCTGCCCGCGGCGAGGACGGCGCCGGACAGCCTCGCAGGGCGGGGAGGGGAGGGCGGGGAGGGGAGGCCAGTCTGAGGCGGGGCTCAGGGCGGAGGGGCGGCCGTGGCCCGCGGCCTGCGCCACACCAGCTCCCGGGACCTCCGAGAGCAGCCGTGCAGGTCCTGGTGGCTCCGTGGCGCCGCGCAAGGTCGCGGGACCCGGGGCGGGCCATCCCGGGCCACAGCCCCGGCAAACCAAACCCCCGGCAGGGGCGGCGGCGAGCCGGCTGGGGAGACCCTCCGGCGCGCGGGCGAGCGCTGAGGCTAGCGGGTCTCCGCTCTCAGTCCCTGGCGCAGTCTCCCCGCGGCTAGAAAATCGTCCCGGCGCTCACCGGGGCGCCCCCGCCGCCTTGGTGCTGGTGCTGGTGCTGGTGCTGGTGATGGTGGTGGTGGTGGTGCGGCGGCGGGGTCTGCGTGGGGTGCAGCAGCGGCGCCGCGGCCTGCAGGTGGGAGGCCGAGCCCGAGGCCTGGTGGTACCACGGGTAGCTGCCCAGGAAGGCCGAGGCCGCGCCGCTGGGGCTGGAGCCCGAGCTGCCGCCGCCGCCGCCCCCGACCCGCGGCGGCGCCCCGAAGTCCCAGGAGGCGGGCGCCGAGGCCGGCGGCGACGCGCAGGGCGGGGAGGCGCTGGCCCCCGGGTGCTGCTCCGAGGGGAGCTCCCCGCTCTTCCACATCTTCTTGAACTTGGACCGGCGGTTCTGGAACCAGATTTTGACCTTTGTGGAGAAGAGGAACCGGAGCATGAATGGAGGGAACCCGGCACCGGGCGGGGGAGGAGGGGAGACGGCGGAGAAAAGACCAACAGCAGGAGGTGGGCGTCGGGCGCCTGGGCGGACCCCGGGGCACGGGCAGGTCCCTGCTCCTCGGGCCACACTCCGCACAAAGCCCCAGAATGCCGGTCCCTGCCCCGCGGTGCTGCCGGCGGCTGGAGGGAGCAGAGGGCCCGTCCTTTTACCCGCTTCATCAGTAGAGCGGAGAGAGACTACGTAGGACCGGGATTCAGCTCCAAGGGTAGAAGTTTAGGCTGCCCAAGAGGTGGACCTTGACATCCTTGAAATTATTTTTAATATATATATATATTAAAAAAATTGTCCAAAACCTGTCCTCTTCCCAGCCACCCCAGACCGACTCCCTCCTCGCCCCTCTTCTTGCCCACCTGCCCCCTTCCCTCTCTTCCCCCCGCGGGCGCCCTCACCTGCGTCTGGGTGAGGCCCAGGGACGCGGCCAGCTCGGCGCGCTCGGGCAGCGCTAGGTACTGAGTCTTCTGGAAGCGCCGCTGCAGGGCCGCCAGCTGGAAGCTGGAGTAGATGGTGCGGGGTTTCCGGACTTTCTTTGGCTTCCCGTTCACTATCCGGATCTCAGGCTCGAGGTCCTCTTTCTCTGCAACGACCCACAATCCTGAGAACCGCGCGCAGCCTAGGAGCCCAAGAGTTCCCGCCCGCCCGCCCGCAGAAAGGCCGGCGTGGGGCTTGGCGGGAGCCGGGAGGGGAATGCTCAGGCGCAACTTGGTGATGCGAGGACCCCCCTGCCGCCCCCGACCCTGGAGCTGGGCCCGCCAGCGAAGGGGAAGACAAGAGCATAGTGAAGAGAAAGAAGCAGGTGGCAAGGACATGAGGTTACCAGGAGGCATGCACCACCTGCCCTCCCCATTCCCCATCCCCCCCCTCCACACCCAGGCCACCCGGTGCGGCCCGCTGAGCACCGGACGGAGGGACCCAACGACCCCCAGCAGACCGGAGGCTGAGGATGGCGAGGGCGCGGGGCGGGCCGGGCGGGAGCCGGTAGTGTGAGAGGCCAGGCTCCGTAGAGATGCCCGCCCCAAACATTTGTACCCCCCCCCCCAACCCCCATGGCGGTAGCCAGGCCGACTGGGCACCCGGACGCCCGCGCTCCGCTCACCAGGCTCGTTGTTGGCCGGGGACGGGCTGGTCCCGTAGGGCGCGTAGGAGGAGTAGGCTGCGGTGTAGCCCAGGTCGTAGCCGCCCTTGGCGGAGTAGGGGACGCCGCCGAGGCCGCCCGCGTGGTACTGGTAGGAGCCCATGCTGGGGTAGGGCGAGCCGCCGCCGCCGCCCGCCGGGGGCTGCTGGTTGGTGTAGTAGCTGCTGTCGGTGGCCGTGGACACCGGGAGGGTCGGCGACTCCTGCGGCTTGTGCAGGCTGCTGCCGGGGCCCGCGCCGCCGCCGCTCGGGGGCTGCGGGGGCTGGTGGAACGTGCTGGAGGCCGTGATCTGGGTCGAGTGCATGTCAGCCACCAAACTGTCAAAGACTCCGGTCATCCTGGCCCGGGACGGGGACGGGGACGGGGACGAGCAGGGGTGGCGGCGGGGCGCGAGGGGGGAAGCGAGGCGCCTCCTCCGTCTCTCCCGGCCGGTCCCGTCCAGCAGCCAATGCAATACCGGGGTGGGTGGGCAGGAAGGAAAACGAGAAATGTGGCAAATGGTCTAGGCAACTCCTCCTCCTCCGGGGGAGGCGGTCACCGTGCACTGCTCGGGACAGCTGCCGTCGGCCTCATCCTCTCCTCTCTCCGCCTCTCGGCCCCGCTCGGCTTCTTGCCCGACGTAGTAGGCTCGGGCGGGGCGGGCCGTGGAGGGGGGTCGGGGCGGCGGGGCTCCGGGAGGCGGGAGCAGGTGAGCGGCCCGCTGCGGCTTTACGCTTGTCTGCGGGGCGGGCTCCTGCAGGGTGGGCATTTAACACTTGTCACGTGAACCCAGGCGACGTCACCTAGCAACAGCCAATCGGGAGCGCCGGGCAACGGGGCTTACAAGTACCCAGGATCGCCGGGCGCCGGGCGGGGGTGCAGGGGGGTCACAGGGCAGGCGCTGCGGCTGCTGTGGTCGCGGGTGCAGAGGCGCTGCTGCTGAATGTGAGGGGCGGGGAGTTAGCGGGGCTGCGGCTGGAGGACAGAAAAAAGGCGAGAAGACGGAGAGGCTGGCATTTCCCATCCCGTGGACAAGTACCAACCAATCCCCCTGAGGTCAGCTCTCAAACAGGAGCCCAAAGAAAGCGGCGCCCAGAGCCGGGCCAGTTCTAGCATTGCATTTCCTCGAAGTGTCTGACGCTTAACTTTTATTATTATTATTATTATTATTATTATTATTATTTTGTCAGCCACTGTGCACTGGACTTAAGTCAGTGGATTTAAATGATCCACAAACCACGTACTGTATAATAATAGCTGCTTCCTAACCAACCCGCAGGGATATTAGGACAATTAGTTAGATTGTATTTAAACGGTAACCCTTGTTGCTTGAAAGAAAAGATGTATAAATCCAAAGGTATTATTGCTATCGATGTCACATCATTTTCCCTTGTACTTGCCTTGTACACGTGGAGAGGGTGTGTGTTAGACACCCAAAAAGCCATCATGGGGATTTCCTCTCTAGGTTGGAAAGCTAGACCAGACTGACCAGATGGCGTCCAAGTTCATTTTAATCTAAAGTCTATGTTTTTATGAAAGAGGAAATGGAATAATACTTCGGCGAGAGAGTCCTCTCCATCTCCATCCACACTACAAGTTTTGGTAATCTTACAGAAGCAAAGAGAAAAGTTGTATCTCGTGCATGGAACCCTACTTTACAGTTTTGCCCTGTAGGACCCTGTTCCACCCCATCGCTAAAACGTCTTCTTTTAAATCGGAAGTGGCGACGTCCTCTCTATCTCTTATTTCCCGATGTTTGGGTCTGAGGTTGGGGGACGCTAGCCTTTACTGGACGCACAAGTGTCCCCGCAGCTCCTTTGGCACTACCTGCCTTGTGGCGCCACCTTCTGGGGTGTGCGTGGTGGCGGCGGGCCCGGGAGACGGTCTAATCACGCCCAGGCGCCAGTCTCTGAAACCCCACAAAAGAACAAAATAGTAATTAAAAGCCACAAAACTGTGCTGGTGCGCGCCATCTGAAGCACCCCCTTCCTAAAGACATAAACGTGCAGCTGAAAGAACTTGTTACAACAACTGTCTAATGGAAACAAGTTGATACTTTGAAAAAATTCGATCTTCGGTCGTCTTCCCCAGAAAAAGCAAATGTGTAATTAAAACTACAGCATCCACACAGCTCAGCCTCTGCGGAATAAGGAGGAAGGTAACACGCCTTCAAATCTGCCCAGATTTGGTTCCCAGCCTTCCTTCTGGTTAATGGAGAAGGGTGAGCTGCTTAGAGAGGCTGTGGGAGGTGGGGCGCGCTTACAGTCAGGACCACACTGCCTCATCGCTGCACACAGCCTGCTGCTCTGCGGGCCCCGGAAACGAAATCCAGCTCTAGATATTGAACCAGATTGCCTTTTGGTGTCTTGGTTCCAAATTCCAAGTTTTTCTGACACCACAGTGGCAGTTGCTTTGACCAAATATAGAAACTACCCGGGAAATGAAATATAAAAGATCCATTTGCAATCCTCTCACCTTCTCGGAGCTCCTTTGTTCTCACCCAAGCATGTCCTCCAGACTTTTTCGCGATGTAAATTCGTTGTATTTTATCATCTATGTGAACCTCCATGAATAAATAGCCTAAAGTGCAGGCCAGCTGAAGTTCAGAAAATGGCATCTTCCTAGTCTGAGAGGCCTTCTTCCCTGCCTCCAAACAGTGGCTCCGGGGACGTGCATGTTCTGAATCTCTGTGGGTTCCTTCTAACACTCAGAGACCTGGGAGAGGGTGGGGTTTGGTGTAGGGGAGTCTCCCATTTCCACCTTCCCAGGACCAGACCCGTCCTGCTCTCATCCTGACTCAGTGGGAACCAGCTGTACAGGGAGTGGACGACCCTCAAGTCTCTGCCCTCCGCTGCCCTGGCTTCCCCCCACCACACCCTCTTGCCTCCTTTGCCTTCAGCTCAAAGACTGTCTCAGATTTATGTGTCTGAGTTGTCTTTATGGATCTCTTGCTGCATGTCTCTCTCCATCATCTCCCCCTTGAACTTGAGGGTCTCAGTCAGCCACTTCCCTCCCTCCCACTGTGCCAGGCACTGTGCCAGGCACTGTGTCAGGTGCTGGTAAAGTCGGTCCTCCAGGAGCTTACAGTCAAGTGGAAACAGCAGATATATTGCCATAAGCTAATAATAATGGGTAGCCTTTAGTTATTGAGAGTTTACTGAGCATCAGGAGTTCTGTCAAGCTCTTTGCCTTCCTTATCTCACTGACCCCTGTGTCCTATGTAGTGGGTACAAAATTATTCACATTGAGGCAACCAAGGCTTATGAGACCAAATCACTTGCTTTAAGGACAGAGACGGGACTGGAACACAGAAGCAAGGCCACTGCGGATCTGGGCTGAGTTTTTGGCCTGGGGAATTGCTGAAGAAGCCGCTGCACACCCACCTCTACCCAGATAGGTGTGTGTGTGTGTGTGTGTGTGTGTGTGTGTGTGTGTGTGTGTTGGGGATGGGTACTGGGTGTGGTGAGGGCAGGTGTCAAGTGCAAAGGGACACTGACAGTCTGAAGTCTAGCGTGCCCCTCTGGCCCCTAAGGAGGACTGGAAGGAGACATTTCTCCTGGAGACCAGCTGACCCGCAGGGGCCCATGCGCAGGAGGGCTCCCCAGATGGACCTGGGAAGATGCCGAACAGCCTTGAAGGTCATGGAGTGGTGGGGAGCAGGCACTGCCAGGCCTGCAGGAGAACCGGAGTTTGAAAGGGATGTTTTGCGCCCGCCGTGGATTAGCTGTGCTGTCGGCTGGAGTGTGAAGTGAACCCGAAGGGTTTTGGGAAAAGGGGCAGACACTTGAGATTCACCGTCAGCACCCTTCAGTGGTTGGGTCAGGGCGTTGGGTTGTCAGTTCAAAATGGAACAAAAAAAACAACAACACAACACACCAATCTACAACTCAGCTATGTAATAACATGGGCAAGAAGAACACAGCTGAGGACTGGGAAATAAGCAAAAAGAATGTTTTTGAAGCGGTCCAAAACAACATCTTAAAGTCCTCTTAAGCTTGTCTACTCTCCTCAAAGGAAAGCCATTTGAACCCTTCTAGTGGGAAGTTTCCTGATTTATTCTTTGTAGGAAGCGGTTATGGGGGTAAGCCTTAGACTGACCTGCTGGCAAAGTCGCAAACAAGTCCCAGCTTGGAGGGCACAGTCCTCTAAGCATCATTAAGCTTGATCTTGTGACTGCTCCCTAGATGGTTCCTGGGTAGCTAGTGGGCTGTGGGAGTGGCTGCCAAAACAAGTGAAACGTACAAGAACATTGTAAATTACCTTGTTTGTCCCTGGCTATAAATAAAGCCTCAGCTTTGCAGTCTGGATGTCTTCTGTGGCTTCAGCCAGGCACAGAAGATCCACCTAGACCCAGCTTTTTCTCTTTGTCTATCATTTCTCCATCCTTTGTCACCCCGGTTCAGGCTCACCGAACCCTTGGCTGTGCTGGCGTGGCACAATTTTGTTTCCCTCTTTTAAGTTATTTCATTAACTAGAGTCTTGATGCATGAAATTCATGCAAGAGTAGGCCTTCCTTCCCACAGCTGCCAGCACCGGCTTCCCTTCCCTCTGGCACCCGGGACCTGGGTTTCCCTCACAGCCCTGGTTTTGGATGTCTAGTCTAATTTGCACATTAAGCTTTTATTATTATAGACTAGTGGCCCGGTGTACGAAATTTGTGCTTTGGGGGGGGGGGGCAGGTGTGTGGATATCCCTCAGCCTGGCCTGCACCCTCTCTTATCTAGGATCCCTCGGGGGATGTCTGACTACTGCTGGTTTAGGCCCAATCCCTCTTGCCATCTGGGACTGCTGGCTCCTAACCACTCTCATGCCTGCTTGGCTGATCGTCCCCTAACCACTTTGCCTGCCACCCTTCTTGCCCCCAACTGTCCCCTCTTGCTGGCCTGATGCCCCCAACTGCCCCCCCCCCCCGCCAGACTGCTTGCCCCCAACTGCCCACCCTTGCTGGCCCGGTAGCCCCTAACCACCTCTGCCTTGACCCTGCCACTAAGACTTTGTCTGGAAGGACGTTCGGAAGGGGTCTCGGCCTAATTAGCATATTACCCTTTTATTAGTATAGATAGTACTTCTTGCCTTTGTAATGCCTTTACCTTGGCTCGTCTCCTTAGCTTAAGTACCGTGGATTCAAAAAAGACTGTGGTAGGGAGTGGGCTGATCACCTCATGGCAACTCCTAAGCATAATACGCTTGTGCCCAAGGCAAGAGTAACGCTGACAGGGAGGGAGGGCCCCACGGGGCAGGGTGACAAAATCTCTGCAGCCCAGAACCTTTGAAAGGAAACCCATATGATTTGGCTTAGACCTGCCAGAACCTCACTAACGATCATTTTAAAACTTAAGTTCCTAACAATAACAGCCAGCTGTGTTAACCTATTTCTATTTGTGGACTGAATGCACCTAGAAATCAAACGGTTTGACTTCTATGCTCGGCTCCCAATTTAATCTCTGGTTTTCACAGATAAAAGATATTCTGACTTTTTCCCCCTGCAATTTGCTGACAGTCATCACACTCTGACTCCAAGCTCAGTTACAGCAGCAAAGCTTAGTTACAGCAGCTAAGCTGCTATATTAAAAAAAAAAAAAAAAAAAAAAAAAAAGATCCCAGCCTGGCCAGTGGTTGAACATCAACCTGTGATTCCTGGTCAGAGCACATCCCTGGGTTGCCGGCTCAATTACACCTTTGATACTCTGACCATCTGGCTTCTTAATTATCATAATCCTAAGAATAGCCGAGGAAATCCTGAAATGTTTAAACAAGGTTTTACTAAAGTCTTGGATAGCAAAAGGGAAATATCAAAAGTAACTTGGACGCAGAGGATGAAATGTCATAAACTCTTTGGTATGGTCCACCTGTATCTTGTATGCTGAATCCCCA